TCAAAATGTGTTTTTTGGTAGAACGGTTAAGCACACTATTTAAAGCAACTCCACGTAAGATGCATCGGAGGCTTTCTTACAAGGAAGAAAGTGAACCATTTTAGAAAATCTATCAACTATGACAAAAACAGAATAAACTCCACGTTGAGTTCTTGGAAGACCAAAAACAAAGTCCATCGTCAAATCTTGCCAAATTGTCTCTGAAATAGGCAAAGGAGTATAGAGGCCAGTATTTTGAGTTTGACCTTTAGCCTTTTGGCATACGGGACAACGCTGAACGAAACGTCCAACATCTCTTTTCAATTGAGGCCAATAAAATCGCTCCTCTACCAAGCTAATTGTCTTGTCCCGGCCAACATGCCCACCTAATCCTCTAGCGTGCAATTCTCAAATCAAGTATTCACGCAAAGAAGATCGAGGAATATAGAGTTGTGTACCTCTAAACAAGAACTCATCCTGAATGAGGAAGTCAGTAATAAATTCCTTGTTGCTGCATTTCATCTATATATCGCTAAAGTCTCCGTCACCAACATACGTATTTTTTAAAGAATCAAAACTCATCACCTCTGTACTAATCGTAGCTAGTAAAGAGGCTCGCCGACTTAAGGCATCTGCTACCCAGTTAGATTGATAGGATCTATGCTTGATGACATAGTTGAACTTCTGTAAAAACGTTATCCATCGAGCATGCATTCGATTTGTCTTTTTTTGGAGTTGATATACTTTAAAGCTTGATGATCTGTAAATAACATGAACTCTCATTGAATCAAATAGTGATCCCAATGTTTTAAAGCTCGAATAGAGGCATAAAATTCAAGCTTGTAAGTAGTCTACTTTTGTCGAGATTGTGCAACCTTCTCACTAAAAAACTCTACTTGGTGCCCTTCTTGTGTTAGAATTGCGCCAATTCCCAAAACCGATGCATCACATTCCACCTCAAACACCTTCTCGAAACTAGGAAGTGCCAGCACAAGAGCAGAATACAAATTCTCTTTGATTACCTCAAAACTTCTTTCCTGCGTCCTTCCCATTGAAACTGCCCTTTTTTCAAGAAATTGGTAATGGTTCCATGATAGTACTAAAACATTGAATAAAACACCTATAAAAAGTAGTTAAAGCATGGAAGCTTTGTACTTCACACACGGTTCGCGGAGTTGGCCATTCTCATATGGCCTTCACCTTGGCCTCATCAACCCGAATTCCATCTCTTCCCATTATAAAGCCAAGAAATAGAAGGTGGTTAGTCATGAAAGTACACTTTTTAAGATTGATATACATTTTATGAGCTTGCAGCACTGGAAGAACCTCTTTGAGATGTGTCAAATGCTTCTCATCATCTCGGCTATAAATAAGGATATCATCAAAATAAACGATCACAAATTTCCCAATGAATGGACGAAGAACCTGATTCATCATATGCATGAAAGTACTAGGTGCATTAGATAGCACAAACGACATCACCAACCATTCATAGAGGCCATCCTTAGTCTTAAAGGCTGTTTTCCGCTCATCTCCAGGCCGAATACAGATTTGACGGTAGCCACTGCGTAAATCAAGTTTAGTGAACACCACAGCTCCCTTCAATCTGTCAAGCATATCAATAAGTAGTGGAATAGGAAATCGGTACTTGACAATAATTTTATTGATGGCACAACTGTCAATGCACATCCTCCAACTTCCATCTTTCTTCAGGATAAGTAGGACAGGGACTGCACAAGGACTCATACTCTCCCTAATCAAACATTTATCAAGCAACTCATTAACTTGCCTTTGCAATTCCTCATATTAAGTTGAGCCCATGCGATAATATGGCAAATTGGGTAAGCTAGCTTCAGGTACTAGATTAATATGATGTTGAATGTTTCTCATGGGAGGCAAGTCATTAGGCAATTCAGTAGGAGATAAATCAGAAAAATCAGATAGTACATTTTAAGCTAGAGGAGGGATTTCAAAAGTCTCAGATTGACCTTTAACCACCAATGTTATCACAAAACCTGGTTCTTTGACTTCAGTAAAGAAGGTTGAACCCATTATGTTGGTGAACACCAACTTGTCTTCCTTAATAGCTGAATTGTTGTCAGACGGGTGAGATTGTGACATCAAAACAATCTTCTTATCAAACCACCAAAAGACAAAAGTGTTATCACGACCCTTATAAGTAGCATCCACATCGTAGTGCCACAGTCTTCCTAAGAGCACATGACAAGTATCCATATCCACTACATCACATAAAATATCATCATTGTAATATTTGTCAATCGATAAAAAAACCTTGCAAACTTCTAGAACTTGAACTTTAGGGCCCTTCTTCATCCATGCAATTTTGTAAGGCGAGAGATGCTTCTCAGTTTTCAAATTGAGTGTCTTTACCAAAGCATTGGAGACCACATTCTCACTACTGCCACTGTTAATAATCACGTTGCATACTTTATTTCTAATAGTGCATCGGGTTCCGAATATCTTGTGGCGTTGCAAATCATCTTGCACATTTGGGGCTAGCAAAAGGCGTTGAACAATACAAGCTACCTCTTCTCCTTTGTCTCCCACTTTAATCTTAGCTCCTTCATAAATATCTTCTTCAAGCACATGCTTCTCGTCACCATCATCCTGTCATACATAATTGACCGTTCGTTTGTTTGGGAAATTATTTGAAAGATGACTTGGTTGATTGCATCGGAAACATTTTCCAAGAGTAGGGCACGCATAAGGGTCATTAGTGATTCATTGTGGCTGCTGATTTTGACCTTGAGTATTAAGTCCAATAGATATTGAAGTCCTTCCTCGATTCTGCATTGAATCTTGAGTAGAAGGGGCGTCTTTATTGTTGTTTTCATTGATGTCCGAAGATGTAGACCCTCTTGGAGTAGAAAAAACTTTCTTGAGTTGGTCGCCGAAAATTACTCGGAGTGCGCACGAGACCTATTGATTTGATTTTCTACTTTCATCGCTAAATTAACTATGTTAGTCATAGTCCAAACTCCTTGAAGAGCCAAACGATCTTGAATAGTTAATTTTAAACCTCCAATATAACAAGCGATTGATTGATCTTCTGTCTCTGACAAATTGACTGAGCGTTTAATTGATAAAATTCCTCTGTGTACTCATTCACCATGCGATTGGTCTGACGACAATTTTGGTATTGTTGGTATATGAATTGTTCATAATCGGGGGGAAGAAAACGTTGTTGAAGTAACCTCTTCATCTTAGGCCGTATGAACACATTGTTTTCCTTGTCGTTGACGGTTATATTGAAGTTGTTCCCACCAAGTAGAAGCTCCACCTTTCAATTTGTAGGCCACAAGTTTCACTTGTCGGTCTTCCAAAATCTCTAAATAATCAAAAAAATTTCTTGACGTTATGAATCCAATTGAGAAAATCTTCAATGTGTAAGCGTCCATCAAAGCACGATAAGTCCATCTTCATCTTAAATTGTTGGCTATTTTGACATTGATTCATAGCTCGATGGTCAAATTGGAAACAATCTTCTTCCCCGGACGAATAATCCAACTCCCGTTGTTGTCGACGAGGAGGATTCCTCTGCTGTGGTTAGCGAAAAGCAGCCCTACCTCGAAAAAGAGGAAATATCTCGTCTTGCTCACTAAAGTCACTCACAGCCACTCGCCGGAATCTATCACCACTACCCAGATTGGCTCTAATTTAGGGTCGTTGGGGGTCAACCACACCCCCTGAGGGTCAACGTGGGTTACCCAGGCCTGCGTTGTCGAGATTCTGGACCCTAGGATTGCATGCATCCAGATTTGCTCGCTCGGGGTTCTGCCGGCCTCCAATCACTTTGTTGCCATCGCCACTGGGGTTGTTACTCCCCGGCCGTTCCCCTACTCGATCTGGTAGCCTCTCCCTTCTTTCATGCCTCGCTTCGCCATCACAACCATCATCTACGTCAGATTGTGAAGTGTTTTAGGAAAGCCATCAAGTCGTTGTTCGACTCTTTCGAGTTGCCGTTCGTCGCCGACAAGCTGTTTCCCACTAGAACCGTCCTCAGCCATCAAGTCCATGTAAAAATACAGGCTCTGATACTAATTTGATGCAGCAGAATAGGTGTTTCAAAGAAACAATCGAGAACCCAAATTGATAAAAAACTAATGATAATTTTTCTTCCAAAATATTATTCAGATTGTTTTTCATAGATACAACTCAAAGCCTTAAATAGAATACATAATATAAAGAATAGGAAACGTACTAAGAATAGGAAATGAAATTAGGAAACTTAGAATAGGAAACATGAAATTAGGAAACTTAGAAAATAATTTCAGAAAATAGGAAACTAATAATAAGAATGGAGAACTTGTTTTTATTAAACGTGTGTTGCATCACTATCCTACTTACTGTCTCCAGATCACCGCCGCCTCGTGACCATGAAGTCACCATCGCCATCTCCTCCAAGTCGATCGCGGCCGCCAACGCTACCAAACTGATCGTCGTCGTTGTCGTCGTCTCCTCCCAGTAGATCGCCATCGCAGCTATCACTCCCACGAAGTCGCTATCTCTTCCCAGTAGATTGCCATTGCCATCGTGACAATGAAGTCGCCGACTGCCTCCATCCTCGTTTTCTGTCAAATCTCTATCGAAAGGTATCATCTTTCTCGCCTCATCACCTAATCTCCTCTCACTTACTTCTATTCTCTTATTATTCTGTTTTATCTTTGATTCCTCCAATATTTTATCAATTTTACTGTCAATGTTTTGAGATCAACTTATGATTGATCTGAAAAATTTTGGAAGAATTTTGAGTTATCTATGATGTAATTTGAGACGAATCTACTCTAGGGTTTATTGATCTCAAAACGTAAATTTACACAGAAATTAATTTTGTTTTTTTCCTTCCTAATAGTTTGAGATTTAATTTATTGTTGATTTTTTTGCTTAGAGATTATTTAATTTGTGGAAATGTATTTGCTAGGGGAGAATGTTCTTGTCCGTTCTAGGTTTCTTTTTTTTGGAATTTGATTCATATGAAATGTTATTTTCATAAATAATTAATGTCTTTCTCCTACTCACCGGCACCGATCGCTGGCACCAGGCACCAACCGCCGAGTTGTTTCACCGATAATGGTGGTGGTGGTGATGGTGGTAGTGGGAAGGTGTTGATGATGATTGGAACTAGTGTCTGATGATATTTGAAAAACACTTTTAAAAACCACAATGGTGTTTCAAAACACTTTAGGATAAAAAACACAACACCAAAGTGTTTTCTAGAAAAACACAACAAGAAAAACACCTTGATAGCCAAACAAAACCGCATGTTTGGAGTATGAGTAACTTGTATCAATTAAACTAAACTTTAGTGGTTGGGGGAAAAAACACAATTTTCGTCACCGAAAACAAGGCCAAAATAAGCAATAAAGATATAAGACCATGTGCAATGCACGTGCATCTCACCTGGTTATGATAAATGCATGAAGTTATTATTTTATAAAACACAATAAAAATATGTAATATTTTAATAATTTCTTGTTTTATCGAGTCACTTTCTCATTTTCTGGTCCACAAAATAGATTTAGAGTATATGACAAATATGTCTACGTAGAACGCACTTGCTCGATACTAGTACAAGAAAATTATTACTGGAAGGCTATTTACTCGTGGTGTTTTCCTCTCATGTTTGATGATAAGAAAGCAAACAAGGTATTCACCATTTCTGTTGAGTATCTTTCTCCTTGAGAGTAGGTTTGTGGCATTAGTTCTTTTAGTATCATAGAATCCTGCCGCGATTGAATTAAAAGATCGAATACCTCATCTATCCACCACTTGTAGCTATTACAGTCAGTCTTACTTGTGTTTTTTAGTCTTTTAAAGATACTAAGCTGCCTGGTTGCTACAATTTTTCTGATTATTATCTCCCTCAATTTACCTTGATATCCTTTGAGTCTACGCTTAGGGGACAGTTAGGGGCTGTTTGGTTCCCTGTTTTTTAGGGAAATGCTCTTTTGAAAGCCTGTCAAAAACACAAAAAGTATCACTTTTTTGCAAAAGGCTTTCAAGCAAAATCGCCTCCAAAAGAGGTGATTTTGCTTGAAAGCCTGCCAAAGAAGTGACACTTTGGCAGGTTTTCAAGGGAAAAAATTTCTAACCAAAAGGGCCCTTACTGACCAAATGAAAAAGGTTAGGGTGTTTATTTGCCAACCCCAAGATGGGGGAATTTTGTGAAACTAGCCCCTTTCTGTTATTTAAAAATAAAAATAAAAAATTGTGAAAATTTTGGATAGGCCTCAAAGCTTTCTTCATCCGCCCCCAAACACTTTGGTAGGCTGGTCGAAGCTGGGCCCGGATACACTCCAGATTTCTTTAAATGACCCAAGACCCAATAAGCTGTCCGCAGCTCATTAGCGATGAATCGGACCCGTCTCCTCTCGATAGAAGCTCCTAGCACCCACTAACAGCGATCTTAATTTGTTCCTTTCTCGCCCCATCTTCCCTAAAAAACTAGGGTTAGGGTTTTTGAAATCCACTCCGTCAATATAGAAAACCGTCGGCAAAAGAAGTCGAATCGAGAGATGTGGCACGAGGCTCGGAGGTCGGAGAGCAGAGGCGGGCGGTGTTGCCTCTGCCAAGCGCCGCGGGGACCCTCAGCAGTCCTTCTGATCGCTGGATCCCGATGGCGCGCTCATCGCGATGACGGCTCTATCAAGCCACTCAGGATCAGCAAGGACTGTACGTTTTTCTTTTGTTTTCTAACCTTTTTCGGGATTTTTTTCAAGGGTTTATTTTTTTCCCACCTTTCATTTTGTTTATCATGGTAATTCTTGTTGTGAATTTGATTGGAAATTCCATTAACGGGAAAAGTTATAGGCTTGTAATGATTATTCTCGTTTACACGATTCGGGAATGGTTTGTTCTCATCATCATTATTATTATTATTATTATTTTGAGTTCTCTTCCTATGTGTGAGGGCATTTGCGCTGATTTTTTTTTCCAATTGTGAGATCATTTCCTTTGATTGTTCCAATACTGAGGGCACTTATTTTAATTGTTCCATTGGCGAGGGCAATTCTGTTGATTTTTACAAGTGACAATGTTTCCGCTGATTTTGAAAATAGTGGGCATTGCCGCAAGTGACATGGCGAGAACACTAAAAGTGAAAAACAAAAGTGGGGATTTGCTTAAATATATAATATAGATAATATATTATATTTCATAGATATATAATATAGATAATATAATGTATAGGCTAGGTGAATGATTTCTCAAAGACATTAAGCCCAGTTATGCTTGCCTTAGCTATAGTTTGTACTATTTTTTGTGCAATTAATTTACGTCAGTGTCATATTTTTTTAATGTTGGTGTTATATATTTTTTAACTGTGGTGTCATATAATTGTTTATTTTGTTTTGCGAATATTAGTTGTGAAAATATGTTCCTTTTTAATGTTTGTGCTTCTTTTATTGTCATGGCAGCATACCTTGGAATGGAAAGCAAGATGTTTTAATTGACAGGTTAGTTCTCTGGTGTTTTGCAATACTCATAAGTCAACAATAGCCTAACGAGTTACTCCTCCTTTTTGTTGGCCAGATTCGATGGCCGCGCTCTCCTTGATTTCATTCGCGATTCTAGTTCTAGACCTTATCGAGTTCAAGAAAAGACCGAGGAGGAAGAAGAACTAGAAGAGTTTGTTAATTTTGAGCGTTACCGGGATTTAATTAAGCATCGGCGTAGAGGATGTCGGTACTTTTTGTATTTTGTTATATTCCGCAGTTACAACAAATATTTACCCCCTTTCGAATATTTTGGTGATTAAGTTGACCTATATGAATGCCTCTTTTCTACTCGTACATTTTACAACGTTAAAATACGTGTTATTCACTTGGAAAAACATATTCATCAACAGTCACTGATGAAGAGGGTCTTCAACATGCTTACCAAGAATTGGAGGCAAAGGCTGTTATGCCTTTTATTCCAGAGAGGTTCGTGTCATTCTCTTATTTCATCTGTATGGAGTATTTGTTGAATATTATATACATATCTCAATTGATCTCCATTGCTAACTTGTAAACTTTTGAGACCTAAGGTTGACTGCCGTGTGTTTTTACCTATGTGCAATAGTCGTAAGTTGATTTTAAAACACTTTTCTTGATTTTAAAACACTTTTCATACACTTACTTGCATATATATCCTACACATCCATTGTTGTAACTTGTTGGATAAGAGTCGAGTTCGTTTCAGCCTTAAAGAGCTATGATTTAAAAGTGTCGTTTACATATATAGCTCAGCTCAGCTCAGAACTATGATTATATCCCATGAGTTTCAACCGTGTCCCCGTAACCTACCTTTTACAAATTTGCCGTGTCCCACACTCGCACCCATACCCATGCAACATCAGTTATTTGACTAAGCGGTTATTCTTATCTGCCCTTAATGCAGGTTTTATTACCTGACCTATTCTTGAGAATTGGCTTCTTATATTTTAATCTTCTGTCATAAAAATCACTTTCTAGAAAATTTCCATGTTGCAGAAAATTTCAGGAGCATTTCAAGCCTAATGCTAATAGTTTAGTTTCATGAGATTGTATTATCTGTTAGTGATGTATGCCCTTTGAACTGTAATCTTCTATCTGGTTATTTTGTAGACAAATTAGCTATATATGTTTTCTTGTTTTCTTCAAATTTTCAATAATTAACAGTACAACTCTTCTGGTTTAAAATATAATTTGTACTCCAGATACTTCTGTCATGCCCAAAAGCAGTAGTACATAAGAAAATTAGAAATAAAACAGAATAATTTTGAAAATTTTCACATTAATTGATGCATATCACCTGCATATGTAATCACATGTGTAAGCATAATGTCACTGTACTATTGAATCATGTGCATGAAGCTGGCAATCCTAATAGTCAACTGTTCTGCATGGCACCACCGGCGGTAATCAATATGTTTATTGAATTATTTTGTTGAAGAGTACAACATCTGTGAATAGTGTTCAAGTTGTACACATTCATTTTCATGCAAATAAGATGAGGTTCACTATAAAAATTTTCATCATCTTTGTTCTCGTTTGACAAGTGCTGATTCCTTTCAAAATGGATCAGATATGAGAGAAGCTTTAAGTTGTAAGACTTCAGAAAAATGCTGAGAAAAATTCTAGAATGCTTGAAACTTGATTTGGTTACGCAGTTTTAAGCTCATGACTACGACTCTTGAATTCACCCTGGGTGTGAGGCAATTTCATCATCTAAGCCAACATAATAATCAAGGCAATTTCATCATCTAAGCCAACATAACAGTCTAAGATTAAAATAGGACGTCGTTCCTTTCACACTTTTGAAATCAAACTTCAGAATTTTGGCTACTGTTCTTCATTGTGTCTGTTGAATAACAATTTTTATTATAAAGGCAACTTGTAACAGCTCTTTGGGAATAGTAGGCAGAACTTTTTACCTGGTTTACATGGTGTCATTTTATTTTGGTTTTCTGAAGGTCACAATCATCTCAGCTTCCAGCAAGCAAAGGTTCATATTCACAGGTTGGATTCTCATACAAGGGAGATGGTAATGAAGACTCCCAGCTCCTGAATAGTGATGATGATGATGATGACGACGATGATGAAGAAGATGATGAGAAGGACTTCAGTAGTGATGATAGTAAGGATGAAGGGATGGAGACAATTGCAAAAGAGTTTGGTATCAAGCGGTACAACTGGCTTGTCTATATGGACAAAAAAGCCAAGGAGGAAGAGAAAAGACAGAAGGAAGTAATTAAGGGGGATCCTGCAATTGTATGTTTGCAAGTGGCTTAGACATTTCATGAGCATTCTTAGTTTACATCTTTTGATGTGATGCTTACAAATTGAAGTTTACAGAGAAAACTGAGCCGCAAGGAGAGAAGGAAGGTTTCTCAGATGGAAAGAGAGCGAACAGGTGTGTACTTTAATACATTAAACTTCTTCTGTGTTTATGGGTCATGACCTTCTGATCTGCCATGCTAAATATGCTAAGTACAGATATTGTATTGTTCAGGGAGTCACGACGAAGTCCTACATACGACGCTTATCCTCGGTCCAGAATGTATGCAGCTGCATAATTATATTGAGATGTTATGGGTGATTATCTTTGTACCCCTCTTAGTGCTAACTTTTGCTCTCCTGGATTTGCTCCTTGTGGCAGATCCAGATCTAGGTCACGTTCTCATTCGCCTGCTCGCCTAAAGAGATATGACCGTGGTGGATATGACCGTGGTGAATATGCAGACAGTGGTCACCGGAGTAAATCCAAGTCTTCCAAAATTGAGTATATCACTGAGTTTGGAGGCACAGATGGCACAAATAATCAAAAATTGGGAGGGATCTCTCCCCCATCTTCTCCGTTGCATGCTGACTTATCTAATCGGTCGGGGCACTTAACCTTTTATACTTGAAAACGTATATTGGACAAAGTTATTCTCTGCTGCAAGCTTATTCTGGTGGTCATTCTGGTTTCCATATACTGTATATTGGGGTTTTGTGGTAGTTGAACTATGGTTTAAACTATGGTTAGGAAGTAGGTCACTGCAGATGGTAGAAGTAGGAGGGAGAGGGGGAAAATGAGCGGCGGGAGCGAGGTTATTGGGTTTTGCTTCTGAGAATAGGATTCTAGAGATGGAGGAAAAATGAATAAGCATATTACAACCTTCAAAAGAATATAGGAGGATAACTTTGTGAAATGAATCCACTAGCCTTCAAAAGAACATTGTCCAATGATTCGAAATATTGATGTGGATATATCCATGTTCTTACATTTTTGCAGGCCACCTGGCGAGGGACGTATTCTTGAGGCTCTTCATATTGATCCTGCATCTTCTCTACCTGTTGAACATGATAAGGGTACGAAAGTGTTGAAGCCATCAGCCAGGTATTCTGTTAACTATGATATTGGTGCTAGATCTTCCCTGGAGGTTAGACATGAAGATGAACCAGGCTGGTCCTGAACCTGAAGCAGATACATAATTCTAAATTTCTAACGGATACTTGTCGATCTGACAATTTGAATTTAACCATTCCAGCTAGAAGTTCCTATTTCCAAATGCGACTCGTTTAATTTAAATAAGTTACCTGGTCAAGTTTTGCCTTGTAGGCTGACTGGGATATATGCTGCTGATTATTCATTTTGAATCTTATATTGGAATCATAAATGCTGTCCTAGTATCTAATTTAATTTGCAAACTTGAATTTTTCCAATGCTAGTACTTCATCGTCAGCCATTGCTAAATTAAGCAAGACTGCTAATGGTGCACCATTAAAAGCTCAGCAAGGTGAGAAGAAGGAAACCCCTCAAGAACGACTGAAAAGAATTATGAGCAAGCAATTGAATAAACAAAGTAAGATTTATAATCTATCTGTGGAAGAAGACGTCTTGTGGTTTGATTAAGGACTTGGACAGTGATTTAAGTCCACAAGATATGTTGCAATATATTAACTGGTTAATGTATGATACAGTTAAGAAAGATTCTGCTGCAGAGATGGCTAAAAAGAGGGAGCAGGAGAGACAAAGGCAAGAAAAACTAGCTGAAACAAGTAGATTAAGCCGTTACAGGCGCTATAGCCGTAGTAGAAGCCGAAGTCGTTCTCCACCAAGGTATTCTGTTACCAGATGAAACTGGAATCCTTTTTTATGTTGTGAATTCATTATGTGAAACCTATGTCGAGCTTCACAGTGATCATTGAAAGTTAATGAGATATAAGAAATTTTAAAATTATACTTGCTTATAGAGAAGTGATGAGTCATGCAGTCCGTGAAGTCAGTTCTGTATTGATCTTTTAATCATTGTGACTTTATACTGGTTCCAAATATATGTATGTGAGAAAATAACTCTTTAGTAAACAAAAGTTATATTTGTACTATTAATAACCAAACTAAAAATATCAAGCTCTGACTGAACTAATAGAAACAGTAGTGGCACTTGAACAATCTGGAAATGTGTCTCATTTACCATGCATAATTCAAGAGATCCTTCCGATAATTGTAGCTAGCTATGTATAACCATCTAACCTGTCACATGAATAACTTGAACATGGTCCATGATTAATTAGTTATAAGAATTTTTAACATAAACTGTGAAGACATCAATTTGATCAACATCCAAACCAAAGACCAAGTCGTAACATGCAATCTGCTAGACATAAAGCAACAATGATTACAAAAGGAACTAACATGAAAGGTAGAATAAAATTAAAAACCTATGTAGAGATCTATGGTAGTATATTTAGCAACCTAGACACATGATCCATAGGAACTATGCTTTGTAACGCAAAACCACCATTCTTGCTTACTAAGTACATTGCCACAACTTAAAAAACAGTACAGAACTATTTGGTCCCGGTGCATATGTAACATCAGAGTTAGCATGTATCAGCATTATACTGTATGTCCCTTCCCCAAACCTTGATCTGCATAATTTAATTATATATTCTATTCAAATTGTTCTTTTGCCTATGCCCTCCTTATATCCATCTGGGAAGTACACATTACTTAAATTTTTTTAAATGGGTGTCCTCTTTACTGACACTGATATTGTGCTCCGCTTTATGCAAATTTCTTCAGTGTTCGGACTTCTGTGAGGCCTCTGTTATCTTTTATGGACTTAAGTTATCAGAGTGATTACGAGTGCTACTATATTTGTTCTTATCTTGACATCTGAGAGAGGAATATTGTTTGCATATTTAGTGCAAGTACTCATAAACAGACAAATTTGAATAAATACAAGTTAGATATTACTAAATTGGCAAAGTGCTTGAACTCTCTGCGGGAAAAATCTGTGGTAGCATCATGCAAGGTATGCATGATTTCTGTTTTTCATTTGATAAGTATAAAATCAATCGTATGATTTTACTCCTCAAGTCACCTGATGTAGGTGGCACCAAATCTTTACCTCCTAGCTGCCAATCTATAATTGATACACTCTAAAAATTTCTTCTCTTTTATCACTAACTATAAGTTCCTCGACTTCTGTTGCTTGAACTTATTTAATTGTTATAATAGTAATTTTTAAAACAAAGGTGGCTTGGATTTTAACCTGCTTCTCAGCCATAACCCATCTTGATCCTTTGCTTCTTGAACTAGTTCTCAGGGGCTATTGCTTTGTTTTTCTGATACGATATTGGTAATAAAACAATATATTACCGATCTTTAAGAATAATTTTCAACATCTATTCATTTGGCCTATGTAGAGCTTTATCATGAAGACGTGCCGTGTCAAAATACAGGTCATGTGTACTTTTCATAATTTGCTGTGTGCGTTTGTGTCTTGTCCATACCACTGTGTTTATTTCCTGCTCAACATACTCGTGTCTGCCCCAGATTTGCAAGCTGTATTTCCTCTTATCTTTGGTTGCTTTGTCATTTTAGCTATTGATCTTGATAATTGTCATGTCTGAAGCTGCCTTCTTTGTGAAATCAATGCCTCCTGGCTTAGAATATTTACTATTATGTCTTACATTTGCTAGTAATTTTTGCTTTACATTAATCATTTTGCTTTTTTACCTTACAGATTTATAGTGTCTGCTGCTCTGAAAAATCTTGTTTCTCTTTAACATTGTAACATCGTAGTTGGATATACTTATGCTGGATATCAATGCAATCGGTTATGCAATCTAATAATTTGAACCATCTTTTTAATCTTTCTTACATGAAAAATTTCCCCCCCTCTTTCTATCTGGCTTATCTATCCACAGAAGGCACCGACGAAGCAGGAGTAGGAGCAGAAGCCGGAGTCCTAGAAGATACCAGTCTCGATCACATTCACGTTCTCACTCCCCTAGGTACCTATTATTTCCCATGTTTTTTTTAGTATTTTTAGCATATATGTGTACCTGCATGAGTACAGTACTACATAATACTTGGCTATATGCAGGTACAGGAGCAGGTCAAGACATTGAAGCGCAATCAATTGGGAGAAGTTGTCCTTTGTCTTGTAATTATATCGAGATTCTTAGTTCTATTGTGATATGTATGCTTTGTAGCACATTTTGCTTTTCGTAAGTCTTTTCTCTGTGCACCTTATGTTGCTAGCGCATGCTTTTATTATTAATGATGCTTCATATGCTCACTTACTGAGGTTGAAATTTTTTTCTTTTCACTCACTTTGTGAATCTTTTCGGTTGACCTGCAGTAAAAAAAAAATCCTCTAATTGATGTTCTATTTGTTCTTGAGTTATATATACTGATTCAATTGAGTATCTTAAAACCTAGCTATAGGCGAGGATGTAAACAGATCGGACATAGTTTTCAGATAATTTGGTACACCATTTGTGAAATTCTGTAACTCGTTGTTGGAACCAGTAAAGACGAATCAAAACTGTGATGGATATTTCAGAGCTTGATACATTATAACACATAAAACCATCAAGTTGCAGTTCTAGTGAACCAGTTTTTCATACATCATCGACAGTTTGAGTGTTCCTTAGCTTTCCTCAGAGATCAGCTGATGTTGCATGGTTTGGTAAAGAGAAGTGTGAAGTCAGTTGAAGAGTTCTCTGATTTTGATTCTGATCAGCTCGAGGCGAGGGTGCGCCAACTCTTCATTCTTGACGTGTATAAAAGCAAAGTATGAACCTGTGAATGCTTCCGGATGAAGAGTTCCTTGAATGGAAAATATACCGATATTCTCCCAACACTAAGTAGGGGAACTCAGATGAAAATAGGGAAAAAGATCAACCAGTAGAAACAAACGGAGTTCCACGCAATACAAGTAAAACGATGATGCATTTTTTTTCTCCATTATTATACAAATATATAGTTTGTAGTTCAACACCCAAAAGCTGCACGCATATTTTGAAATTTAAAAAAAAAAAATCACCTTTTTTTCTCAGGAACATTTTTAAAAACAAGGTAGAAGGCACTCATGCCTACAAGTTGCATGAACTAAAACACGACTAATAATATTATAGGTGAGAGCATGCACATTCATAAAAATCATGGGTAATTACATCAAGAGAGTGCTATTATTTTTCGAATACCAAATTCTGCCCACAAGAACAAAGAAAACATCCTGAAACAACATCTCACTCTTACACAACGCATCAAAGCAACAAACCATGCTTCTGAAAACAAGCAACAATTTTGTCACACCTGCCATCCGTCTTCTGCTCACCGAAAGCACCACCCTTGAGTAAAATCGAATGAAGCTCCGTATCGCTAACAAAATGCACAACATCCCTCTGTTCATTTTCTCCGTCGACACGATAATTCTCCAACGGGACTAAACTACCCCTGTATCCGCTACAAATTTCCCAGTCCAACCAAGTGGGAAAACCCCTTACCTTAAGATCTCTAGTAAGAAACGATCTTCTATCATATGACATTAAAACGTCTTGAAGCCAAATAACAAGTACGTTGCGCAGTTCATGAACACATACTAACCTTGGATGATCTCGGTCAATCCACCGGGATTTTCTAATAGGATTGTTGTACTCCAGCTCCCAATGAATATTTGTAGCATCTTTCAGTACCCAGATCTGAATGAAATCCCTCGATGAGAGGTCAACCACAGACAGAAGACCTCCAAGCTCGGTAAGGCTAATTTCGCTGCCGTATCGTCGATGTGGTATCAATTTGAATTGCTCATTTCCCAGATCAAATGACAAAATCCTGTCATCGAGACCATTAAGAGGACTAGTCAACCAATACACAACCCCATTTGCATACACTGGCTTTCCACGAGGATGATGATGATTAAAGCCCTGAACTTCTCTCCAGGAATTAGTGCCCAATGTGTACACCTCAGCTCTCACAAACTCCTCTCCGGCTTCAGTGGTGGAACTTTTACGATATAACACTCGAACAACTTTATACTTGTTCGTCACACGATCAAACCCGAAAGCAAGCATGGGTGAATAAGAACCTCCAGATTCCACGATGGTAGGTTCTGGTAAAGTGACATGTTGCCTAGTAACGGGATTGCATACCATTGTGACCGTTTCGTCGGAAGCGAAGCAGAGCAAACCGTTGCAAGTTCCAACCAGACCCCAGGATAAAGAACTGATCATGTTATCTACGGAGATTTCATCGGCGACAAGTTGGATGCCCTTGTGTCCTACAGGAGTTATGCTGATCACTTTCTTTTCTCCAATCGACCTACGAGTCAAGATCAGAATCGAGGGCTCGGGTTTTGATCTAGAGGTGTAGAGCTTCGCAAATGATGGGTGCTTTATCATGTCGAGCCAGGACTTCGATACGTAACCGGATTGGATTACGGATTTCAGAGGCAGCCTTGAGAAGATGTTGAAGAATATATCGCGAGGAAATCTCTCCATTTTGGATCGTGCTGCAACTTTAAGGTCCCCCAGATCCTAGCTTATGCCCCAGTCTCCTTGCTAAGTAGGTAACACTGTAAATATATAATAGTTAAGAAAGCAACATATAATCTTACATCTATATATATTGAGTAAGCAATCATCGATCATGCGTGTTGTATAAAAGTTGATCAATAGCTGATGCAAGGACATATAAATTACTCCAGTAATCTATGTAATACATAAAAAAAAGATAAAATAAAAAAGCTGATCATCAACTAATAACCCGTCATCTGAACTCACAGAATTGAAGTCATGTCAATAACTGAAAAAGCTAACAGAAACAAATAAAACAACATGCAAGTACTCAATACGAGAGATTTTACCTTCCAAATTAAAATTAAAACCTTAATCAATAGAAAACAAGAGGTGAGAAGCTTTAATATATGAGATTGGGTGCTAGGAATTACCGGAGCGATCAAAAACTTTCATCGGAATTGGGTTTAGGATTTTGATTGAGGAGGGGGGTTTTGACGGTACTGAGAGAATGAGAGAATCCTAGGAAATTACATAGGGAGGTCAGCACGTATCTATTCCCTGACAACGGGACAAACGCTGGATTTGTGGAATCTGAACGAGATTTTCTTTCTTTCTTTCTTTCTTTTTCCGAATGACGGGAAAATATTTGGACCCCGGAAAAGAGTGCGGTCTGCAGGTGCCTTCTGTCCAATAAGAAGCAATTTTGACTATATACCCCTCCAATCTTCTTTATTTGCAAAATTATGCTCAGCATCTTGATTTTTGCAAAGTTACACTTCATTTCCTCACATGGAGTTTATTCCCACCTCATAGTTTTATTTCAGTTTCCAAATGGGAAAATATTGCAATCATATCAAGAATTATTGGAAATATTTTGCATTGCCCTATTTAGATACCAACATTGTTAAATTGAGGGATGGAAAAACCTAATAAGAGATAATGTGGGATAGTTTTGCAGATATTAAGATTTAGAGGATAAATCTATAAATATGAAGTATATATGCAAAAAAAACCCAAATAAGAGTTAAGAAATACCTGATATGATAGGTGGCTACAAATATTTTGTCAATGTCGGTTAACTTTATTTTAGGCTGGATTTTGATAAATAAAGAAATAACGTTTAACATTGGATGATTCTGATGGGCTGGATCTTGATAAATAAATAAATAACGCTTAACATTGGACGATTCTGAGATAACCCTTGTAACTTTCAAAATAGTAGAAAACCTCGTAACTTTCAAAATAGTAGAAAACCTCGTAACTTTCAAAATAGTAGACAACCGTCACAACCCCTTAAGTTTAGGGGTTTATAAAAAATAACCTTTTTAACTTTTAGATTCTTTCTGAATGCCCCGCTAAAAGTGTGGATCACAATTTTCACTAGCAAAAATATTCTCTGCATAATATTACTCACCCTTGTGAGAATTGTGATAAGCATTGTTAGGGTGTTGTCTGATAAAATCTTAGGCCCCGTTTGGCAAAGGGTTAAACAGGAGGGATTAAAGAGAAGGGTTAACTTAGTTAATCCATCGTGAAGGGTTAAAAAAATTCTAAACCCGTTTGGATATGATAGTTAAAACAAGAGGTTAAGTCTTTTGTGTTTGGCAAATGAAGAGGGGTTAAGAAGATTAATCTCATTACTTTTTTAAAAAATACCAGTTTCGTCCTTATTGGAGATTTATAAATAATTACCTCATCAAAAAAAATTAGGCTAAATAAACACAGACTTCTCTTCTGCTGCAGCGTCAATTGATACCAT